TTCACATTGCTTCAAACCCAGTTTTTCATGAAAGAACAAAGCATATTGAGATAGATTGTCACTTTGTGCGTGAGAAGGTGACCAAAGGACTTGTCAAGTTACAACATGTTCGGTTAGCAGAGCAGGAGGCAGATCTATTAACCAAAGCTATTGGAAAAGAGACTCAGTTAAAATTACTTAGCAAGTTAGGAGCTTTCAATGTGTTTCAGCCCCAAACTTGAGGGGAAGTATTGAATAGATTAGTTCTCTTGTATTGGGCCATAGGTTATCACGGCCCATTAGATATGAGGCCTTAGACTTGAGGCCTATAAATGTATCTGTTTACCAGACCTGAATGTATATATCCAGTTTTACAAAATCAATGATATGTAATATCCATTTACATGCTGCGTGGATTACTCTGATTCTTATCAATATCTTTTAAAAAAGTACAGCTATTGAGTTGAAATAATATGGAAATCTGAACTATTAAGTATAAATAAAACCATTTTTTTTAATAATTCTTCTTAATGTCCCATTAACTGGGACTTGAGATGTAAAAGTAAAAGTCGAAGTCTGAAAACGGTGTTTCGAATGTAGGGTATCACTTCTTTAGGGAAGCCACTTGCATAAAAAATGAGGAGGAGCAAAATTTTCGTTTGAATAATTTTTTCTATGTTTTTCCTACAACTGCATAATGAAAACACAACTCATCGTCACCAAAACTAAAATATGTAATATGCCTTTGATATTTACGGTTGATTGAGATAACGTGAAAATGTCTATTCATCAACTTCTCATCCAGATAAACAATTTTTCACTTCCCAAGTATGGGAAGAAAAAGAACCAAATTTTTACAAAGCAATAGGATCTAAGCTGATTCAACTACACAATTGAGATTTCTAATCTATGTTGATCTTGTCTTTGTTAGCTAGCATCTATCCAAGGAAGAAGTGACACTGAGAAATACATCTTCTCGGCATGAAATAGTGAGGGCCCCCATTGGATGATCATATCCAAACTCTTCCTGAGCCTGGTTTAACAACTCTTGAAATGAAGGTTGATTCAACGTAGATATGGGGATCACAAATCTCTTCATTTCCTCTCCGACATAGACCGCAAGGTATCCCTTTGGTACCTCACTTGATTTTGAAGAAGACAATTCCGTAGCAGTTGAAGCCCTTCTGATTCCAGGAAGACGAAAACCCATTTTCTTTTTGTTTGTGGAAAGAAGATAGTCGTTGAACTGAGATGCTTGAGGATATTGCTAGAGTTGAGTTGCTTCTGAAATGCTTGCAAGTATGAGTATATATAGATGAATGCATTTGTTTTGCTTAAATAATTGGAGGGTGTGAGGTTATGTGATAGGGCCTAATGAAAGACAAGGGCTCTTAAAGAGTTCATATGGTTGTGTCTTAAAAGTCATTTTCAAAAAGTAAGGACTAGCCCAGAGATATGGATGAGAAAAATCACATGATTCTGTTTTTTTGCTTCAAGAAGGATCACTTGAACAGTTCAAAGGTTTTGTTAATATCCATTTGAAGAATTTTATAGGTGTCATTTCAGGTTCTAGACATGCTTGAGACACCTCTGATGGTTACTTTTCATCAATCCAACTGGGAGTTAACACCTCTCTGAAGCATGTCAAGAAATGAAACTAACAACTTGAAGCCTGCAGATAGACATCAAGCATTTAATACCTCCAGTGGTCCTTCTTGACATTTGGGAAAGACATAAAGCAATATCATGTGATCCCTCTCATCCATGTCTTTGAACACTACATTATTTTGCTTAACTAACGCTTTATCATTCATATCTTAGCCAAGTGGGTTTCTTAGTCCATTCTTGAAAAAGACCTCTAAGACAACACCATGTGGTCTCTATATGCTCTTGTCTTCCAATAATTATAAGCCCTACCACAGAACATTTCCTCCACCATTCATCTATATATAGTGATATCCTTGTATGCTCTCAGAAGCAAGGGACGCAAATCTCGTACAATAGCCCCAAGCATCAATTTTCAAACACTTCTTATTCTTTTCTTAACATAAGAAAACCAATGGGTTTTCGTCTTCCTGGGATCAAGAGGTCTTCCTTAGCCGCAAAAGTGACTTCTCCAAAATCCAGTGAAGTGCCAAAGGGTCATCTAGCAGTGTATGTGGGAGAGGAAATGAAGAGATTTGTGATCCCAATATCATACTTGAATCAACTTGCAGTTCAAGAGTTGTTAAGTGAAGCTGAAGAAGAATTTGGGTACGATCATCCGATGGGTGCCCTTACTATTCCTTGCAGAGAGGAGGTCTTCCTAAATATCACTTCTTCCTTGAATGGATACTAGCTAGGAAAGACAATACTTAGATTAGTCAACACAATTTTGTAGAGTTACATTCTTTTCCTCTGTAAAGATTTTCTTTTTCTTTTTTCTCAACTTGGAAATTGAAAACGTTGTACACCAAAATGAGAAATCTATGAAGAGAAAATTTTCACGTTTATCTCAATCCGTCACGAGTATCCAAGGAATATATCGATCTTTCTTTTGCGCAAATCATGGCATTACATATTGACCATTTTGTTTATGTGAGCACTAAGGATCTGTATGCTCATCTAGTAGAAAAAAATTGAGGGGAAAAAAAACTAAATCCTTTCTAGAAAATTCAAGTCAAGATGTTTCTTACATATAAGTATCTGTAAGAAATAAGTGCAAGTAAAATAATCCTTGTGAGAATTTAGTAATTTTTAATTTCAACTTGGAGAAATTATTTTAATAAGAGAAAATCAGGGAACATCATGTATGTTTGCCTTCAATGATATTACCCCAGTTATTACCAAAAATACGTGAATTCAATTCTATGGCTTTGTAGGACTAGCAACTGAGCATTCTTTATCCACTTTTTTTTAGAGAACAAACTTGAACTCCCTGTGCAACACATGAAGACATTAAAAACTAATAATGGTAATGACTAGTATTAAGAGTTAGGAACATATAATCTGCTTACGTACAAAGGGATCGAACAACACCCTTAATTAACACCGCATTAAGATTATACCATGATTCATCCTATCATAGTGATGATACCAAAAACAAAATGGGCCATAAAATTCTAATTCTAGCTGCGAGGGTTAAATAATCTATAAACTTATATATTTTTAATTTTATATTTATCACATTTTTATGAAAAAGTATGATCTCATTATATTACTCAGAATCTGATTACTAATTCTGTGGTCTCAAGGCACCAATATCGAGAAAAATACAAACGCGGAACTAGAAAAGAGTGGCCAAGCCTAAAAGCTGTGTTTCGATTAAAATTAATTGATTTTGCCCGGAAATATAAAATTATTTTGTGTATTAAATACTCCTTCAGCCTTAAATATAAGACCCTCATACACACTAGTATAAGGGTTTTATATTTAGGACCGAAGAAGTAAAACTTTTTCTTGCAACAAAAAAAAAACTATTTCCTTAAAGTTCTCGTGCCAGGAAGTAAAACTGAGTGTCAAAGCCTGAAAATTGTGTTTCGATTGTTAGAGAACATCAAAATATGGCGAAGTTGACAACCCTAGAGAAAAATAATCTTGAGTTGAATTACTAGGCTAAAGAATATAATTTTGTACAATTTTTCTACAAAAGATATTAATTAAAAACACAAATCGTAATAACCAAAACAAAACGGTCAATGCCTTTGATATTGATAATGGACTGAGAACACGCGAAAATTTCTATTCATCAGATCTCATTGAGATAAACAAATTTAGGCCGGGAAGATAAAGAATAACAAAAATCTTTATAAAGGAAAGGATCTAAACCTATCCAATTACAAAATTGTGCTTTCTAATCTATGTTAATCTTGTCTTTGTAATCTAGCGCCTATCCAAAGAAGAAATGACATTAAGAAAGACATCTTCTGCACAAGGAATGGTTAGGCTCCCATTGGATGATCATATCCATACTCTTCCTCGGCCTGGCTTAACAATTCTTGAAATAAAAGTTGATTCAAGTAAGATATAGGGATCACAAATCTCTCCATTTCTTCTCCAACATGAATAGAAATACATCCCTTTGGTACTTCGCCTGATTTCGAAGAAGCCATTTTTGTAGAACTTGAAGCCCTTCTAATTCCAGGTAAGCGAAAGCCCATTTTTATGTTTAAGAGAATGATTAGAAACTGCTCAAATTCAGATGCTTGACGATATTGTTGCAGAGACGTCTGGCTTCTACAATGCTTGCTTACTTGAGTGTATATATGGATGAATGAATTTGTTTCCTTTGAATAATTGGTGGCTGAGAGGTTTTGTGATAGTGCCTACTAGAAAGACAAGGGCTCTTCGAGATCACATGGTTGTGTCCTGGAGGTTATTTTCAAAAAGCAAGGACGTGCCAAATGAAGAGAGGACTTGGATGGTCACCATTTGATTGGGATGTGGTATTGATAAAGCTTAGGAACATGGACGAGAAAAATAACATGATTCTGTTGGCCTGTTCAAGAAGGATCACTTGAAGAGGTCAAAGTTCAATTAATATATTTTTGAAGAATTGTATAGATGAGTTCTAGACATGCTTGAGACACCTCTTATGGTTACTTTTCATCAATCCAACTAAGAGTTAACACGTCTCTCAAGCATGTCAAGAAATGAAACCAACAATTTAGATAGACATCAAGCTTTGAATACCTCCGGTCACCCTTCTTGACATTTGGCAAAGACATAAAACAATATCATGTGATCCATCTCATCCATGTCTTTGGACTTCATTGCTTAACTAATGGTTCATCATTCATATCTTAGCCAAATGGGTTTCTCAGTCCATTCCTGAAAAAGGACCCCTAGGACAACACCATGTGATCTCTACATGCTCATGTCTACCAATAGTTAAGCCCTACCATATAATCTTTACTCAACCATTCATCTATATATACTGATATACTTGTATGCTTTCAGAAGCAAGCAACTCAAATATCTCATAATACTTTCAAGCATCAATTTTCAAACACTTCTTATTCTCTTCTGAATATAAGAAGACAATGGGTTTTCGTCTACCTGGGATCAAGAGGTCTTCCTTTGCTACAAAATTGACTTCTTCAAAATCTGGTGAAGTGCCAAAGGGTCATCTGGCAGTGTATGTTGGAGAGGAAATGAAGAGATTTGTGATCCCAATATCATACTTGAATCACCATGCGTTTCAAGAGTTGTTAAGTGAAGCTGAAGAAGAATTTGGATACGATCATCCAATGGGTGCCCTTACTATTCGTTGCACAGAAGATGTCTTTCTAAATGTCACTTCTTCCTTCAGTTGGTGCTAGCTTGTAAAGATAAGCCTTAGATTAGTCAATACAATTTTGTAGAGTTAGATCCTTTTTCCTATGCAACGATTTTGTTTCTCTTTTCTTTTTTTACCGCAACTTGGAAACTGAAAAAAGTTGTATACCGAAATGAGAAATTTATGAAGAGGAAAATTTCACCTTTATCTCTTTCTGTTTCGAATATCAAAGGTATAGAACTCCTTTTGTTTTTTCAACAATTCAAATCAAGACTTTTGTTCTATATAAGAAAAGAGTCTGTAAATAAGTACAAATTAATCCTGTGAAATTATGTTTAACTTTTTATTTTAACTTAGTGAAATCATTTTTATAAGGGAAATTCAGGAAACATCATTTATTTTGTCTTCAATGATATTTCTAAAATATGTGAATTCAATTCATAGCCTTGTGTTCGCTGATTAGCTTAACTGAAAGCGGATGGGTCACAAGTAATATAAAAAGTATAATTCCCTCATAGATTAAGACTAGATGAGTTAAAAAATCATAATTGTATTCTTGATTAAGTTAAGTGAAACAAAAGTAGGGGGTTTGTGAAATAAAAATAGGAAAACAATTATTTAAATCAATCTGAGATCAACTTGACTCTGAGACAAATAAGGGACTAGGGTTATTTTTCACTAAAAGACTTCATAAAACTGGATTAATCACTTCTCCAGTAATAGTTAACAATAAGCTCAGGTAACTAGGGTTTGCAGAATTGATTAAGCTTTTTCAAGTCAAAACCAAATTTTTGCAATCACAATAAAACATAGCAATCTCTTGTATTTGTTTGAAAAGGTTGCACTTTGAAAACCAAAACCCCTTTTAAGCTATGCTATGTTAACAAATACATCTCTATTTTATCAACAAACTGTTTATTTACTAAGTTAAATTTCCAGACTAGCACATTTTTATCAAAGTTCACAGATTAATTTATCATTCTCAAGTTTAAACTAATCAAATGATCGATCCAAATGATGGCCAGACACAAGGAAGCATTAAGCTCAAGGTAAAAACAACTGAACATTATTATTAATAACACTAAGGAGATAGTTAAACCAAGTCTTAATCCATGCAATAGATCAAAATAACCCTAGAAAAATTGATTTAGCTATACATATTTAGTAAAAAGCTACAACTATAAGGATAGCTAGTAGTTATTACAGAGACAAGAAGGGAAGAAGAAGAAAACCCAGAAAAATCGAGGAAAAAGCTTCAAACCTCTTCTAGTTTCGAGCCCGAAGATTCTAAGCCTCCAAACTCCAAACCCTAGCAGAGCAAGCCTCCAAAATTGCCCCAAAGTCGAAGTGTCCCCCGAAAACATGAGTTCCCCAACATATTAACCCTAATTTTTAAGTTACAGCATAAAACAAACAGCTGAGAGGGGTTAGGCACCATGGCAGATGTAGTCATTTGCTGCGACGGATTACACAAAATGGATTTCCTGGGAGCATCCCTAGCACCGCGGCGCATGTGATCATGGGTTGTGGCGGATTACATCGAACAGGGACTTCTTTGGGACAGCTTGGGCGCCATGGCAGATATGATCAAGAGCCAAGGCGCCTCACACAGAATTGCATTCCTTCCTCTCTGTTAAAGCCGCCATGGTGTTTGTCTCCATGTGCTGTGGCGATTTGTCCCTCTTTAGCTTCTCTTCTTCCGGTCTCTCTTCCTTGCTCACATCGGGCTTTTTCCTGGAAAATTGACTTCCAAAACATATACAAGGGTGCTGAAACAAGCTGAATAAGTAAGAATTTTGGGAGATTATCACATTGTAAGACTAGCAACTGAATTAATCTTTGTCCACTTTTTCTTTTTAATCTTGCTCCTCGTGTGCAATATAACATTAAACGGCCAGTAATGGTTAACTATTAAGAGCTAGGAACATATAATCTGCTTACGTACAAAGCATCAAGCCATCTCATAGGAGATAGATTAACATCGATGGATCCTATATTTGCCACGGTGTTTCAAGACAAGACCGCGTGAAGATTATATTATAATTCATCCTATCGTAGTGGTGATAAAAAAAACAAAATGGGCCATAAAATTATCGTGAAATCTAGCCAGCTGCAAGGGTTAAACCATCTATTTAATTTATATTTGTTAGATTTTTATGAAAAAAATATGATCTCATATTACTCAGAATTTGATTGCTAATTCAGTGGTTACAACGCACCAAAATCTATAAAGGAAACAAAGTGGAACAAGAAATTTCAATCACTTCCCAGTCGCATGGCCATCGAATTGAGTTGACATATTTTTACCAGTAGAGATAATATATATTTAAAGACAATAAAATAAATTAGCTTACATCTCGATTATAAACTATAATTATTTAGTCGAATTTAAAAACTAATTGATTTTCCCGGGAAATATAAAATTATGTTGAGCATTAATTTCAGCTTCTTCTTCTTTTTTAAAGTTCTTCTTATGCCCGTTTGGAATCTAAGACTGTGACTTAGGAAGTAAAAATGAGTGTTGAAGATCAAAATATGGCAAGGTTGACAAACAGGGCAAAATCTGGAGTTGAATTACTAGATCAAGGAATATAATTTTTTCACAATGCTTCTGCAAAAGATATTAAAAACACACTCATAATAGACAAAACAAAACTTGAATGCCTTTAATATTGATAATTGCAACACCTAACTTTCTGATATTCTTATAGGGTCATTTTAAGAACTATGAATCACTAAATAATGCTGGGTTTCTGTCTTGGGAAAAAAAATGGGGTAATTTTGTTTTTCAAATCATATGCTAACTGAAAACTAACGAGTGATTTACATTTGAACCTTGCCTGTATTACTAATAACGCAAGCACATAGATTCAATCATAATGCTACATATACATATATATATATATATATTTATATATAGGTAGATACACTGGCCACCTCGATCAGTAACACTTACCTGTGCATTGGCAGTGCATACCTCCTTATGGAGGATACAAAATTGTATGTACACAAGCATTACTTGCCCAAAAACATTTAATAAGTTAGTTAATTAACTACCAAAATAATTTACTTCATAAGTACAAAAGTAGCAGGCATTCCTGCTCTTCATACATACCCACCTTCAACTCTTACAACATCCTTACCCTTAGAGCCGCTTGCCCTTATTGTACATCATGGAAAGGAAGGTGAGATTTTAGAAAATCACTGCAGTAGTAATTTTCATCAAACATATATGCAGATCACACAAAGCATGCAAAACAAGCTGAGCATAACATAACCTTGCAAGCTATGCATATAAAGCATTTACATGCAATAACACATAGTTAGATTGAATAAATGAATGCATAATCAACAACACATAAGGCCAAACATACAATGGCACGTAAGGCCCCGCAATAATGGCTCATAAGATTGCACTTGTAATAGCACGTAAGGCTGCATAAATAACGGCACATAAGGCCCCATATCTTTCAGCTGCACATGATCATGGCTAATAACTCATGCAAGGAATTAAGGATTACATGTTCTCATATTTTGGAATAGCACATGGCACAAACAGACGTGTAGCAATAATATACAAGTGTAAAGTAAGAAAGAACTACTACTAAGCCTTTCGCTTCGAAATTAAACCTTTCTTTTTTCCTTTCGTTTTGCTTTCTTGGTGAGCTTGAGTACATATCAAAACCTATCATATTCATAAGGGTAGATAAAAGCTCGATCCAACTCTAATTCGTATATTAAATAACTCTCTTTAAATCCTAAATTTTCTTTAATCTCTACTCTTACTTAATAGTTGGTCATCTTGGACAATTTTTCTTTCAAAAACTATTCTCTTTCAAGGGTTTTTCTTTTTTTTTTCTCAATACATATAGTTACTTTACTTAGTAATTGGTCATCTTGGTCAAAAATATTATTTTAGTTATTATATTTAAGGATGATGTTGGATCCATAAACCATGCCAGCTCCACTTCATCAAGTGGTTGGTTGTTGAGAGCAAAACATTATGTTTAAAGACATTTAAAATGTCTTCATGGCTTAAATAAAGATGACCAAATAAAACGAGGGAAGATAGTTTATAAAACTTAATCCTCTCATTCCAATCACTTCCAAAATAATTCTATGAGCTCTCTTAGCTTTCATCCCCAATTTACTTAATATCTAGCACCTTTAAATCCTCAAGCATGTGCCAAGCCATCTAAAGGAAGAATCTAATCTCTATGGAACAACAGAAAATATATTTATTTACTCATAATCATGCATCCTACAAAAAAAACATTATATTGCCAATACATTCTTAATTACTCATGAATGTTTTAGGTAGCCTTATACCTTGAAATAATTTGTAAACACTGTAACTATTAATTTACTCATTTAAAATTTCCATCCTCCATTTGGAAACCTCAAGCAAACCTCAAATAATAAATTTCAAATCAGCTTAAATTCCTTGGCCCCCAAACAGCCGCCAAATTATATCTTAAGTTCAATCATTTAAGCTCTAAACCTCCCATTATATTCATGCTACTACTCTATTTCCTTATATTTCCATCTCTTAAGTTCATGGAAATCACTATTCATTGTATTAAATCATTTCTAACTTCCTTCTTAATGTCCTTTTCAATACTTCCAGAATACTTTTGGGCTATCACCTCGAAATTTCAATCAATCTTATTATCAATTCAAAACCCCAAACTTCAACATTTGTATCAAATCCTAACTTCCTTTATTTCCCATATCCTTTGGCCAAACACTTTGAACATCCATTGACTTTTTATTCCAATTAAGCAATTACTCTTTAATAACTTCTAAAAATCCCCAATAATTTAAAATCAATAACCTTCTAAGAAAACTCAACCAATAAACTTCATATATAACCATCCTTAATATTTTTTAATCCCTTACACTCTTTCAATTAAATCTAGAATTTGCAAATTCTATTACACTTCTCAACATAACTTGATCATCATCGTATGTGTCTAATTATATATATTTCTTTAATTTCCCATTAAACCAGAATCAAGCTATGAACACCCAAAATAGCACTCCAAATTCACGCA